AATTGTACTCCACAAATCTCAGCCGATACCTCGCACAACTCGAGTAACGTCTCGTATCTATTGTCGTGACGTCATGGCTCGCTGGCTCACACTTGCGATGTCTTGCACTTGTGATCAAATAACACGCTGGCTCGCACTTTGGCAACACTCTTTGGCAGTCAACTCATTTTCCACATACATAGACATTTTTGAAACTTTATTTAAAAAAACCTAAATCATAATTCACCACTATAGACACTTTTTGACAAAAATGAAAAATTACGACTTTGTTACCCAATGAGAAGTGTTCTAATATAGACAATGGGTCGTGTCTCATAAATGGGTCATGCCTCATATTATTTGTTATATTTTTGTTATTCATTATTTTCACTGGACTCGCATAAATAATTTTGTTCGAAGAACATTTATATGCAGTTGTACTTCGCAGCACTTCACTTGCAATTTGCAATTTCTAGTTTACAATTATATACACTCAAAACGCTGATAAATTTACATCATAGTAGGATCAGTCCTATAATATAAAAAAGTAAAGCAATCAAAATAAATATTATTTGCACGATTTGGTCTACTTTTCTAATCCATATAGGTTGGGCCTTCCTAGTATTCTCCTCAGAACCGAGTCGTTTAGGCCCAAAAAAAAAATGCAGTTATAGTGGGTATAAAGTGAAAAAAAACTCGCTAGGTGGCAGTTTTTTCACAGAATATATAAGCCTATGTTTGAGTAAGTTTCGGCAGTTTCTAAACTCCTCAAACTTATTTGTACAATTTATCGTAAAATAATTTATTGAAAAGCCTTGGTAAATATTTCTTATAATAGACTTTTGACTCATTAGATTTAAAAGGGAGTGAAATAAACAGGCGTATCCTTGAACATGTTTGCAGTGTGGACACAGGCCTAGACCTATAGACTACTGTAGAGGCTCATAAAAAACAATGTTCTTCTGACTCATTGGCCATCGTAGTCAAAAGGAACATCTTATTCTAGAAATTCAGCAAGTTAGGTTTGTCCAATAAACTGTAGTTTAAATATATCATGTAGAAATTACAAAAAAATGACTTGGTATTTAAGCTGAAAGTGTACAGTACCTCCAAACATTCTAAGTCAACAGCGATCGACTTAGTCAGCGCTGAATGTGGTGAGTCCCGCAAGCGATACAACAAAGATTATTACAAGATCTTCACGATGGGACTCTAGCACTCAAGCCTTGCAAGACCTTAATCTACTTAATCTTAAACAAAGAATGCACAATATTAAAGCAATAACTATGAACAGTATCAAATCTTCAATAACAATGTTCCATCATATTTTTCTAACCGCTTTTGCATAAGAGAAAATAGTTACAATACCAGACTTGCCAATGGTATCAACTTTAACATTCCTAAAGTGAACACCGAGTGCAAGAAAAATAGCCTTTTATATAATGGTGCTATGCTTTGGAATGACCTTTCCGATGAACTTAAATTTTCTTCCAATCTCCATATTTTCAAGCAAAGTCTTCATAAAAAAATTTTGATTTTATCTATTGTCATCCCCGAAACTTAGAAATACCGGGTTGGTGTCCGGTGGGGGATAGTTTCACTGGTAGTTAAGATATCATGTTTTTGTTGTTTTCTTTAATTCATTTTGTTTTCAATAATTTTTTTCTTTTCTAATTATGTGTGGCCTTGCACGGCCTTGATGAAAAACACCCATGGGTGATTCAAGTGTCTCCGTGTTTAAATAAATATATTATTATCATTGGCCTAGGCCCCCTAGAACGCCTCTCAAATCTCCCCATATTTTTAGTCTGAATGGAAATTTAAATAAAATCAACCTTTAGAATCATGAATCTATGAATCATTCAAAATATATACGTTGTTATAAAAGGTATCTTCTGTTCTAACCTTATTACAAATAGACGATTTAATATACACCAATTTTGCCTCCGCTCAATGCATTAGCATAGCTCCTTGGCCAATGTTTACAAATTCACACCAAATCGGCAAAATCATGATGACATCATCTTTGGTGACTAATTAAATCTTAGCTGTTTTTGGTATTCTTTTCTGAAAATTTATGAGATTTTGAAATTTGTTATTAAGTCACTCAAATCCCCACATTGTTGAAGCTTCCAGGTATAACAGCCTATGGACCCTCCTCTTTGAATTGCTCACTCTGCTTGTGGGGTTCTTCACTTTTGAAGATTGTGGTGGCACATTTGTAGTTTGCTTGCTTACTCCAATCCCAATACAAAGTTAGTTTCACCGGCCTCCATGTAGGAAGAAGTCTTAGCAACATAATTTTTTTTAAATGCTTTCTAATTTAAAAGAGTACCTGTTTTGTACCGACACAGGATTGTAAAAATAAGAAATAGTGTTTTTATCTAAAATTTCATTCTTGTAAATATGAATTCCAAAATATCAAGAAATTTATAGAATAATATCAACAATTTTTTTTTTTTTTTTTTTTTTGCAGGTAGCTTTAGAATGGAGTCAAGACCAATATTCAGCTTTATTTAATGTTTACCATGACAACATTGGTGGGAAACTTTTCCAAGACAGGTAAGTTCTTAAACTCACCTTTACTCACACTGTCTTACTTGAAACCAGTTCTGCATGTTCAGGGGTTGATATTGGTGAGCTTGTTAGAACAATCAGTAAGTGTGCTTTGCACATTGCAGCTGTTATATAGTAAAATATTAACTATTTTTATATTGGTTATAATTTAAATTTCCTCTTATTTCTTTTTATTTATTTGTAAACATTATAATGACTATTTTTCTAACACTTTTAGATATCAGGTGGTTTTAATATAGTCATTGTGAATCACCTTCATAATTTTGGAAAGGTGCTATATAAATCATTATTATTATTATTAAGAAATGAAATGATTACTGTAAGTCTTTATTTTTGATAAATATTTTGAAATGTTTAATAGTCAACACTTTGCATAAAACCCACGCACATGACCACACTCATGTTTTGTGGCAGGGGATCGGGGAAGGAGAGGGAGAGAAGAATGATGTGATGGTTATTCCTCCCTCTCTACCCCCAGTGGTAATTGCTTGTTCCCTCTTCTGAAAGAAAATAAATGCTGAACAAATTTATCATTATTTTATTAATTTGATTGTTAGGTGGATATTATACTATAATATGATGATTATGGGCAGTAGCTGTAGGCTCTGGTCAGCATCCAAGGGTAAACCCTTCATGGGTCTTAGGGCCGAAGCATCTTGTGCACAGAAAATGTCCAGCAGAACTTTTCTGACAGGTTCCACTATAGAACTTACAAAATTGGTAAGTCATAACTGCCACTGCCAGAGGCTTGGCTTGTCTTGGTATTCATTCTTGACTAACCTCCACTCCACTGTCAGCAAGAATGAAGGCCAGTCGAATGGCCAAGCGGTTAAGGCAGCACCAAAACACTGTCACCAAAAATCACAGGCTTATTTGGTTAAAATAAGAATTTCAAAATTAGCTTTTAAAGTCTGTCCACACAAATTTTATGTGACAAATTTGGGCTATACAGTATGCCTATATATGGGCATGATGATATATTACACCCAAATATGGGCATATCACATTTGCTTAACAATGGGCTCAGAGCTTCAAAGGAGCTTTCTTTGTTTTTGTAGGTATCTTTGATCAGTAGAGTAAGAATGCTTTGATCTTTTGTTTAAATCACTGCTATGGCTATGTTCACACACACGGCGTAAGGCTGGCTTAAGCATGGCATAGCGTACGCCTTTGTGTGTGAAATAGGCAGTGGCGTTGTTAAAGCCACTCACTACGCCACGTCCTTGGTGTTATTAACGCTACCTGCAGACCCCAGATTAGCTAACGCCACTGAGCTAACGCCAGTGATGCTTGAATGATTTCACCTCATTTCAAGAGATTGACCAATCACGATTGCAATATATTAGCTACTTTGGTCTCTTTCCT